GGGGCCGGGCTCTCCGGGGGGACCGGGGTCTCCGGGAAAGCCGACAGGGCCCTGAAACCGAGAAAGAGAGGTCCAGGCCGTCAGCAACCTTCCCCGAGTGCGCACCGCCAAGCCTTCGCTGCGTCAAGACCACCTCCCTGCCTACCGCCCCTAGAACGTTCTGACGGTTCCGACACCGCCGTGCTCTTCACCACTGGAGCCTTTCCGAACATCTCACTTGCGTCACACAACAAGCCTGGAGGCAGCAGGCCGGCTGGGTCCTCCTGCTTCCCGGAGGCCACGCTGTCCATGCCCACACACCCGCTCCTTAGCTCCAGGCTGAGACGGGAGCTTGGGGCTTCTGGAATGTGCCACTCAGAAGCCCCTCCTGATGCCGGGCCAGGGCAGGCCACAGGACAGGGGGGCTGCCGGCCCACCCGGTCCAGCACGCTGCCTGTCCACTCCCAGGCCCTGGAAGCCGTCCCCCAGCCTTGCTCCACTGTTTGTGTCCAGGAGCTGGTATGAAAACCTCTACACTAGAAACATTTCCCCAAGACACTGTGGATGAATGAGAAGGGTCTAGGATGCAGGGCCCCACCCCACCCCAGTTCCGGGGGCGCCCACCCACGGCATCTCGGAGCTACTCACAGGGCTGCCTTTGGGACCGTCATCTCCGGGAGGCCCTTTGGGTCCAGGGGGTCCTGCAGCACCAGAGGGGCCGGCTTCGCCCTTCTCTCCCCTTTCTCCTTTGGGTCCCTGTAGGGAAAGGCCAGTGTCTGTGTCCCCGGAGCCGACCTCACAGGTTCCCAGAGTGGGGTGCTGACCCGACACGTGGCCCTTGTTGGCACCTGCTAAGCCTGGACAGTGGGCTAGGTGCTGGGCCGGCGGGTACCAGCAGCTGCTCGCACATCTCACAATTGCCTGGCACTGCCAGGCGGCCTGAGGAGCCCACTGGCTTTCTGGGCCCTCTGAGGCCAAGACTCTGCCCCTGGGTAGGAAGGACTGACCCCTGAACTGGACAACAGGCAGCTCGGACCCTGAGGGGCCCACCCACTCCGTGGTTCCCAGGCGGAGGGAGAACTTTGTCCCCAGCCGCCTCCCGGGCCTGAAAGAATGTACATGGGACCTGTGGGGTGTGACTGTCCCAGGTCTCGGCTGACGAGGGAACAATGATCACCCCACATTTACAGCAGCCTGTGGAAGGGCCTGGAACACCACAGATGGCAGAGCAATTCACAGCCTCGGTC